CCGACCGAACCACATCAATGATGGGTGCAGCTCCAGTCTTATTTTTGGCAGCATTGACCCTGGTCTGCTCACTGACCAAGGTCCATAATTTATCAAGGTTCACAGTTGGGCAGAAGTTCTGGTTCCTCTTCAAGTGGTAATGTCGCATACCGACTTTTCCAAAGTAACCTGGATGGTATTTGTCGAAGTTGATCCTGTGATGATGCAAGCCGCCAGCATTCCCCCGGCCCCCTGGGTGCTTCCGGTGCTTCCCGATGCGGCCGTGGCCGTGGCTCACGTGGCCCCTAAGTTTCCGGGTCTTCCTCAGTCTGGAGGGCATGTCGGCGGCCGAGACGAAAGAGCGAGTTTTTGTTTTTTAAGGCAGCATTTATCCAAGGAAGAGTTCAGAAGCATTGGGAAAGAAAACAAAATAGAGGCAATAAACACATGGAAGAAGGGAGGAAGTGATGCTGTATTGTGGGGACAGGAAACACTAACATGAAACAAAATGTGTATGAATTAGTGAAAATAAAAACTTTAACTCATATCACAGTTATAAATAAATAAATAAAATAAAACAAAAACACTCAATGTTTGCTCAGCACAAATATTTTGTAAAGGGGTTTCTTCAGTGAACCATCTGTGACAAACTATTCCCCAAAGTAGCTGAACTTCTACTGAATTCCTTCTTGTTAAAGCCCTCAACATTTTCTCCCATTTCTCCATGTTAGAATGATTAAAACGATCCTTCTGAACTTTTCTATAACCAGCAATTTTTAGTGAAGGCTTAAACTATGAATCCTCTAGCTTTTTTTTTTCACGCATAGAAGCAAAACCATACAAAAACCTAAGATAATAGGAGCAGTATATTTCAAAATTCAAAAGTAATTGAGTCTAATCTTAGCTCTGTAAACAATGCATTAATTTAATCTTTGTAAAATGATTGGTATGTGTTGTTGTCAAGAACAGCCTCATTGCAACCTGATTTATTACAGAGCAAAACCATGCGCAGCCTGGTGATCTCTGCATGGTCTTTGGTGTGCCTGAGTCCAATGTTGTCTATTGGGCCAAACCACCTCCTTTTCCATGGCCCGCTACCAAACTTGACATGCTAGCATTTGGTCTCTCCTGATAAACTTTCCAAGGTCTTCATATGCTTATGCTAAAGAGCATACATATTTCTTCTCAGACTGATTTGTTCATTCTTTTGGCAGTTCATGGTATGTTAAATAATCTTCAACTCTACAAGTCCAATGCATCATTCTTCCATACCTTATTTTTTGGTGTCCATCCTTCTCATGCATGTGAGGCAATTGAGAAGACCACGACTTATGTCAAGCATGAAAGGTATATTACAAGATTGATTGAATGAATAAAATCAGCTGATACCAAAGGCTCAAGTAGAAAGAAAACATTTTGAAAATGATGATGGCAACAAATGTATAAATGTGCTTGACACAATGGATGGATGGATGGATTGTGATAAGAGTTGTACGCACCCCCAATAAAATGATTTAAATGATAAAAATAAAATAATAATGAGGCCCCAAAAATATAGGTAAGTAAATATCTATATTTAGAAAATCTTTGAGATTGTAGACTATATAAAGGAAGAAAAAGGAGTACATTGTCTAAAGAAAAGAAACAAATAATATATGATGGTTGAGAACTTTGAAAATGAGTCTAAAATTTTTGAAATATACAAATAAAAGAAATAATAATTTACATAGGACCTGTGAGAAATTTCTTATTGGGAGATCACCAAATAACATATAAAGCATATAAGATAATGATATTCAAGCCAAGATATAGTTCATTTAATGCTTAAGTGTAATTCATTCTAAATGTTCCACTCTCAAAAACTCTTTCAACACAATCTGTCCAAAATAACAAGTTCTATGTTGCTGTTGCTGTAGGTGCCATCTAGTTGGTTCCAACCCATAGTGACCCTGTGCACAACAGACCAAGACCCTGCCAGGTCCGGTGCCATCCTCACCATCGCTCCTAACCTGGAGCCCATTATTGCTGCCACAGTGTCAATCCATCTCCTTGAATGTCTTACTCTTTTTTGCTATCCCTCTACTTTACCAAACACGATGTCCTTCTCCAGGGACTGGTCTCTCTTGACAACATACCCAAAGTATGTAAAATGAAGTCTGGTCACCCCTGTCTCTTAAAAGCACTCTGGCTGTACTTCTTCCAAGACAGATTGGTTAGAATGGGAATGATAGAAGTAAGATCTTAGTAACGCTGTGACTCTTAAGAGTCAGTAGTGCAATGGTTAAGTGCTTGGTTGTTAATGGAAAGATTGATAGATCAAATCCAGCAGCTACTCTGAAAGAGACAAAAGACTATAGTCATTTGCTTCTATGAAGTTTAAGCCCGAGGACACAGTATGGGGTAATCTCTCCTCTGTCTTATGGCATTGCTGTGAGATAGAACCAACTTGATACCACACCAACATGGTATTTAAGTCAATGCTGGGAGAGGAGGTCCGCTGCTAGTTTGCAGGATACGCTGGGAAAGCAAACTGCAGAAGTCGGATCCAGAAGACTAAAGGTCTGAAGGTAACAGGAGAACGGGAGATCTCGGAAAAGGCCTGAACTTCCCATAGGACTAGGCCCCAAGGAAGGTGTTTTGGGGTTTTTGGTTTTTGTTTTTGTTTTTAAGTTCATGTGGATAATAAAGGAGATTGTAACCCCAATTGGAACTGAATTTGAGGAAATAAGACAATGTCTCCGTGATTGCAAAACAGAATCAAGTATAAGACACACTGACTAGGCAGTGGTGGAGGACAGAGACGGTACTACCGTACAGTGGACACATGCACGGCAAGATGAATCCAGACTTCATAAGCACATACTTAATGGAGTGACCCAATCAAAAGGTTAAATGCATAATCAAAGCATATTTTTGAGTTAAAATTCATTAACTGGTGGCTTTCCTTCATATTCTGCCAGCGCATGTCTAACAATTTGCTTTGAAACAGACCTCAAGGTGTGTAGAAGAAGTTTCAGGTCTTTGTCCACATCATTGTTATCTGTCTTTATCTGGTTTATGTGTCAAGTGTCTAGGTAAAATATTATTTATAAAACATGTATCAGTTTTCAGTTCGTAGTCCTTCCACCAGAAATGACCCTTTGCTATTTTTTGATGAATAACATTATTTCTATAGAGGCTTATAATAAATTTCACTTATTAAAATTTCCTCTTGGGTTACAGTTTAAGATCTTATCATTTGTTTTCCCTTTTGACCCATTTTTAATTTGTTCTAGTTTTTATTATTTTCCACTTTCTTTTGTTTTGAGGTCTTTTGGTCATTGTTGTGGCGTTTTTTGGGTTTTTTTTTTAATTTCCTCTACGTGAAATCCAGAATAGGTAAATCTATACAGATAGTAATTAGATTAATAGTTTCTTAGGATTTGGGCAACAGAGGTTGGGTGAAGGGGTGGGGAGGGAATATTAATGAGTACAAAATTAAGAATATGTTCTAAAATTGATTGCAGTGATGATTGCACAACTCTTTTTTTTTTTAATCATTTTATTGGGGGCTCTACAGCTCTTATCACAATCCAAACAGACACCTATTGTGTCAAGCACATTTGTGCAGATGTTGCCATCATCATTTTCAAAACACTTTCTTTCTATATGAGTCCTGGCATCAGCTCCTCATTTTTTTTTAATCCCTCCATCACCCTCCCTCCTTCATGAACCCTTACTAATTTATAAATTAACATTTTTTCATGTCTTACACCAACTGATGTCTCCATTCACCCACTTTTCTGTTGTTCGTGCCCCTGGAGGGGTGTGGCTATATGTCAATCAATTCTTTTTAATATATTCAATCCACTGAATTGAATGGTACATGAACCATATGTCGATGAAACTATTAAATTAATTTTTTAAAGAATGAATTCAAAACGCAAAAACTTCCAATTAAAACAAAATTCAAGGGCCAGATGACTTTACCAGAGAACTCTACCAAACAGAGTTGACACCTATCCTACACTAACTATTCCAGGATATAAAAAGGGACAGCAAGCTGATACCAAGGACTCAAAGAAAGTAAATATTTATAAAGTGATGATGGCAACATATGTACAAATATGCTCTATACAATTGATGTATGGATTGTTATAAGAGCTGTAAGAGCCCCCCAATAAAATGATCTTTTAAAAAGAGCATACTGGTTGTATTTCTTCTCAGACTGATTTGTTCATTCTTTTGGCAGTTCATGGTATGTTAAATAATCTTCAACTCTACAAGTCCAATGTATCATTCTTCCATACCTTATTTTTTGGTGTCCATCCTTCTCATGCATGTGAGGCAATTGAGAAGACCATGACTTATGTCAAGCATAAAAGGCATATTACAAGATTGATTGAATGAATAAAATCAGCTGATACCAAAGGCTCAGCAAATTCCAAAACTCATTTTATAAATCAAGCATTACCCTGATACCCAAACTGATACAAAATCAGCTAATACCAAACAGCAAATTCCAAAACTCATTTTATAAATCAAGCATTACCCTGATACCCAAACTAGGACCAAACAGCAAATTCCAAAACTCATTTTATAAATCAAGCATTACCCTGATACCCAAACTAGGTAAAGGCATTACCACATAGAAAACTATAGACCTGGTAGGGCAGGATCAAGGGGAACGTAACAAAGAGGAAATGCTGAAATCCTGGTGGGGACTGAGCATGATAGTGGGACAGGAGGAGAATCAATGGAAATAGAGGAAAGAGCTGGGAGGCAAAGGGTATTTATAGAGC